ACAAAGGAATTTCCTACGTAATTGCCTTTCCAGGGAAAGAAGCAACTAAGACATATGCAAAATGAATAACATCCACTTACTCATTATCGTCATCATCTTTGCTATCGCTGGCAGTGTCCTCTCGTTCAGGTCGTTTCTTCAAACGAGCATTTGCTTGATTTCTGGCTTGTGCAACTTTTTTCAGCGAAAAAAGCTCCTGCTCTCCGGGAATTTCAAAAACATCGCCTTCGAGCACCATTTTCAACTTTTTCCTCTTTTCCATGTCAGCTTTCTCCTTCAGTAATTTCCTCTTCCGTTTTTTGAGTGCAGCCTGAAAATTATAAGCAAAACTAGACTTATTCGAAGTCATCACGAACCGAAATTGATTACCTTAATCATCTTCGAAAAGAAGGTAACACACTTAGGTGAAGACGGTGATTAGCAACTGCTAGAAGCAAATAAGCTCAGAAGAGGAGTAACTCGCACTGGTACGCTTGACTCGTGACTGATTTCAAAAACACTGGGATTTTCATAAAGACAGTCCTCCTAAACTCAGTGGATATTCGCAAAATTCAGCAGAACTTCTGGTGCTTAGAAATAATAATTTATATGGCAAAACAATAAAATTCCAATAAAAATTAGAAAATTTAACAAAAGTAAGTTCTTTTTTTCACTTTCTTAATCTGTACGGTACTTTTTCACAGCTTAGGAGTGGGAACTTTCAGGAGGGGATAGTCCAGAAGCATATAGCAAAGGCATTTCATAATAGGTCAAGTTGATTGAAAAAAACGTTGAGCTGTTAAATCTTTTCAGAAGACAAAACGAGCGTCAGGAACACCAGCACGAGAAGTTATAGCATTTGTTAAAGCAACCAGTAAAAGGTGCCAACCAATTTATAGCTGGAGAACTGGACCATGAATCCTCACTAATCAAAGTAATCTAGCAAAAAGTAAAAAAAAAATCCGACCTTCTCTTCCGCCTTAGCAGTTGCTAGCTGTTGCTCGATCTCCGCCATACGTTCTTCTCTGGAAAACCAGGATCAAACAACCATAGAAAAAAACGGTAAAAAGCGAACACTAAAGAAAATAGTCAATATAACCTACTCAGGATCAATCACGGGTGCGGCGCTTTTTCCTGTTGCTTCACCACCCTCCAAAGCTTCTTCCTCGCTAATTTCCTTAAGAATGTTTCGCCTCCACTGTAGAATTTGCCGTAGCTCTCTGACACCACACACTTTAATATCTTCGAGACAAAATTTCACTTCATCTGTTGTCAGCTCAGAGTTGGCCAGCTTCTCATCATCCAGAACAATCTAGAAAGGGTAGGCCTCATTTTCGAAAATAAGCATTAATTTTTATAACTAGTTCTTTGATGGCATAAAAGTACATGGATTATACGACTAAAGTAACGGGATACGGAAAATGAAGACACACCGAATTACTTTTTCTTCACAGAAAAAAAAAGGGAATTTGCAATCCCCTCTTTCGAAATTTGCTTAGATGAGTCATCTGGAATTTTACGATAAAATTCTGCATATATTAACCTTATTTGCAGAAGCCAATAAATCAAAATAATTGGAACTCCGAATGAAATCTGTAGCACTAATAGTTTTATAGAGCAAAACTGTTTCGCTGTCATAACCAGCGGCTTGCACCTTCTTCGTTTTCTTCCGTGTTTGTAAAATTAGTTGACTGAAAACAGAAGAAAGTTAAAAAATTTACAAAAACAGATTATCAGACCCCGCTGCATCTACTTAGATTTTTTCCGTATTTGTAAAATTTCCTTCTATGGGCACTCTTCAAAACTTCAGGTCATTCGACGAAATTCATAACTATCCCCCTTCTTCTTCCCTGTCTCCTATCTGCCTCTCTCGTCACAAAACGATAAAGACAGAAATAAATTTACTAACGGATTCGAGGTGATCGACTGTTGTGCTGCTTCTGCGAATACTTTTTTGGG